ATGGAACACGACGAGACACACATTCGGTATGTAATGCTGTTTGAATACAAAAAAGGAAATAACGCCTCTGTAGCCACAAATAATATCAAAAAGTTTATGGAAATGTTTTGAACGTTCGTAAATTTCGTTCAGCTAACTTTAGCTTTAAATATTGTGATGGCAGGGGCCAACATATTGGTATTGATATTGATGCTCTGAAGACGCTTGTTGAGTCAAACCTATGGCAACAAACTCGTGAAATGGCAGAGAAATTGCATATCTCTCATGATACAATACGTAAACATCTAAGCAATATGGGAAAACTCCATAAAGACGGTTTTTGGGTGCCTCAATGAACTTTCCGATGATCATGTTTCTAACGTGTGAACGCTGCTTCATAATGCGCGTGAACCATTTTTGGACAGAATTGTCACGTGTGATGAAAAATGGATTATCTTTGCGAATATTAAACGCCAAAAACAATAGCTTAGTCCTAGACAAAAACATCTTCCAACCCATAATCCTGGACTCCATCCGCAGAAAATGATGCTTTGCGTTTGGTGGGACATCAAAAGAGAAATTCATTTCGAACTTCTCAATCCACAGCGCACTGTCAATACAGAGATCTATAGTCAGCAACTGGAACGTTTAAATCAAGACCTTCATCAGAAACGCCCTTCACTCATCAATCGAAAAGGTGTTCTTCTTCTCCATGACAGTGCATGTCCACATGTGGCAAGTTTGACGCAACACAAGATTATGGAGTTCGGTTGGGAAGTTCTCCCCCACCCACCATATTCTCCAGATATAGCACCATCAGATTACCATCTTTTTCGTTCGCTGCAATACCATCTTAATGGGAAAACATATGCAAATGTGGAAGGTGTTAAAGAAGACATCGACATGTTTTATTGCTTCAAATCCAAGTGATTTCTTCAATCAGAGCATTAACAACTTGATTGTAAGATGGAAAGCATCTATTTCACTTAATAAATGTTTCGTTTTATGTATAAGTTGTTCGGGTTTTTTTCATCTAAAAAAAAGACGTCATTAATCTCTTAACGACCTAATCTATTAAATGATGTGTTACTTCAAATAACATTGAATGGATTAAATGAAGCATAAACAGTTAATATCAAATGGCAAAAATAAAATTTCCCATATCATTGAAAAAAGTATTTCAATTATTCTTTGAAACTGAGTTAATCAACTGAGCAAAGTCATTGATATAAATCTAGTAAGGTAAACAAAAATGTGATATAATGTTTCTCAAAAAATACAAATTCGAAACATTTCCAAAATAAAATTGTTTTCAATTTTTTTTATCTTCTTGGACTGACATTGAGACAAACATCAAATTTAAAAAAGCGCAAATAAAGATTTTCATAAGCATGAAAAATAAGTTAAAAATCATAAGTAATAACCAAGTCAATATATAATTCATAAAACACAATTTTTAAAATATTAGAGATTATAAATGTATTAGTCTATATAAAGTGACAGACAAATTTCCTAAAATAGTTTTGGTAACGCTAAAGATTTGGATTTCATTACGAGTTATAGAATATTTTAACGCTTGATAAACATTTTAATGTTTTATAGATACTAGTAAAACAGACATATAAAATTTATTAATTTTGTAGAACGTTTTACGATGCTATGGCTCAAGAAATGAAAACTCGTTTTTCAAAAGACGATACCTGCAGCTGATTAAAAATTTGTGAACTAATGGATGGTTATTAATGTTTTGAAAAAAGAAATAAATATGATATTCAGCACTACAACTTGAGTAGTGAGATATCATGCATGGGGACTGATTTTGAAAACTTATATCAGACTTGTAAAATTTATCTTCACTAATCACCCCGAGATATGGGGTTCAATTTTACTTCCTAAATGTGTCCTCAAAGAAGCCTAAAACCTTTCATGTATTACATGATATTTTAATGTAAAAAATGTTAAGTATTAATCTAATGTCAAATATGTATTTATATTATTTGTTTACTTTGGAATATTAGTTTAAATAACCAAAAATTGTTAATGCAGACCAGTTATTAAGAATACCTTAACTATTGCTACAAAAACATACAAATTCTCCTTTTTTTTCTGTTTTCGTAATGGTAAGCGTTATTTTACCCAACTTAGTACATAGGTTATTTTACTAGTAGTATTACATAATCGTGTTTATTTTGATACGTGAAAACAATACCCTAATTAGGAATCAGAAACAGTTGCTTTACGCAACAGATATATCTCATTTTCTTTGAATACAAAAGAAAATATATGTTTGAACTACTAATTCCCATGACTATCTTACTGAAAGAAAAACACCTTTCGTTTATTTTCAACAAAAGTAACGTGTACTTTCATTTGTATCGAGTAAGAAAATAGTCCATTTGGACGTTTTCATTATATTAAATCTTTACACAAAAAATTAGCATAATATTTTTCTAAGCATTTTGACGAGCCAGTAATATAAAGTATTGAAAATTATTGTAGAAAATATGAAAAAAAAGCGAATAACAGGCAAATACTATGAGGTTGTCTACACTTTAGAATCTGAAAATGAATAATTCCAAAATAAAGTCAAATGTTGCTAGTTTACAATGTGATCGCTTTTACATCCAGCTAATAAGAAAGTGCCACACCAGTATAAAGCCTATAAAGAACAAGCAGTCATTCAATGCACAGTATTAGTAATGTGATTCCAGTCATGGTTTCAGAACGGAAATACAGTACAACAAGTGCGTAGAAATCAGTTTTGGCAAGATCTTGTTATAAATACACGTGTGAATGTTACCTCGAGAACACTAGCACTAAGACATCTCAGTAGACGAGTAGCTACACGAAAACTGCTTCCGAAAAGCGATATCCAAACCAAAAGGGTGAAATGAACACTGAATCACAAACAGTGTTATAAGCAAAGGTGGAGATGTGTGCTTTTTTTCAGATCAATTCAAGTTCGAATTGTTCGGCAATAATCGATGACAGTTCACCTAAAGGTGGAGAGGAGAACAGTATCATAGTCAATGTACAACATTTACAGTTAAGCTGAGTGAGGGATGAGTACACGTTTGGGGCTGTATCTCAGCCAACGATGTAGTTGATCTAAACAAAATTGATTACTGGTAAATACAGGAAGATTCTTATCCATCATTCCATTCCCTCAGGAACACACCTCATCAGTAGGAGATTCGTCTTTTAGCAATATAATTATTCCAAGCCTACAGCAAATGTTTTAAAAACATTTCTTGTCAGTAAAGAAGCCAATGGAACGCTCACAACCATGTTTTAGGCACCACAAGATCCCATTATGTCAATTTCTGAGGATGTTTGGGCTTACGTAAAAATTGATAAGGTCAAAAGACGACCAAACAACTTAATTGAATAATGGGAAGTAATATAAGACAGTTGGTAAAATATTACAAAATCATACGATGATAAGTTGCATGTTAGCGTGAAAACAAGGCATAATATTCTGTGTAAAGAAATTGGCTAACATGCAAAATATTGATGAATTGTACAACTCATTCGCTCCCCTTTTGTGTTTTTCATAATAATGTTTAGTGTCGTTAATAAACTCGATATATATAGTTGTAATTAATCATTGTATGTTTATCATCAGTGTTTTACTAATCATTTCCATTTCAGTATATCATATTTTATTAATAATTTCGTTTGTAATTGGTCACAGACTACATTTGTTTAATGTTTTAAAATAAAGATTAACACTGTGATTTCGTAAGCTTTCAAGATTGAACGTAAAGTATGAAAATTGTATTGAAGCGGCTTACATATTAACATTTTTGTAAAGTTATGTTTTCTTATTGTGAAAATTTATGAAGTTTGAAGTTTTAAAGCTTTTGGGGTATTTTATTACGGTTTCTACTATAGTTACAATCGTGTATTATTATAAGATCTTAAATACTTAAGAAATCATGCATAATTCTACTTTGAGCAAATTCTCAAAAAAATCAATCATATGTTTTCTATTTTAAATAAATCAAGTATAGTTGGGAAGTGTTCAAATGACACAACTTTGTGACATTTATATTACATCTTACATAATATGAGCTGACGGTATAAAAATACAATATGTTTTAACTCATTATGTAACCTAAAGTTTCAAATGAGAAATATTTGTAAATATAGAGCTAACCTTCAAAACAGTAGCTAATAAACAGGCCGGGTTTCTTTTGTACACGTTAAAGTTGTCTACATATATCTTAATATGATCTGAATTAGTTAAGAGTTAAGTAAAATATAAAGCTACAAGCTTTAAATTTAGACAACGTTATGCAATGCTTACATTTATATATATAAACAGACCAAACCTTGCTTCGGATGTATAGGTGCATACTACTGAATAAAGTGGAAAATATATGTTTTACGATTTAAAACATTGTTTTTACATTTATGTAATTAAAATACGTATTACAATTCAAAAGCATCAGATATTTGGTTTTAGCTTGAAAAGTAACATGTTATAATATTTATCTTGTGTGATGAATACTCTTAGTGTACGATAAGCCAAAGTATTTCGTAAGTAATTGTTTTTCCGTTATAATATATGTAAATATATACATGTAACTAATACTGACAAAAACAAAAACAAAAAAACAAAGGCAAAGACATAGAATATAAGACAACAATACAATCTCATCTACTTACCAATAATATCTAGCCAGATACAGATATTCTCTGTTGGATCATGCTTATAATCAACACGACATCTATACCTTCCCCCGTCTTCCTCAGTAACGTCTTTAATTCTCAGGACGGAAGGAATGACATCAACATCAAAAAATGCTCTGTCTCCCAGGATATCGCTTGGAAAATGTTTTGGCTGGTTGGTAAGGCCGTTTCTCGCATCAAGGATATAAATTGGAGTTGAAGAATTACCTCTATACCACAAAATTAACGCGATCCCTTCTTCTGAGATCATGGTAAAGTTGCAAGGAATTTCTGCAACATTACCTTGGAGAGCTTCATATGATGGCAAACCTTTTTTTACAAAGATAAGAATGAACATTTTAGAGGTTATAAAAGAGCTTACTATTACACAAAATAAAATAATCATATATTCTATTTTAATTCTGTAAATTGTCTTTTTTTTATTATCTAGATAGGCATTTTTAACTAAAATCTCACAAGTTACTTATTACTGTAAGGAAAGTTCCAGTCTGAATATTCTATATTTTGCTCATATTAATAATTTTTCTGGAAAAAAAACAAAAACGTTTCTGTTCAGAAACAAGAACTGAAGGGTTAAGACTATATCATGTGCACAAAAAGTGTAAATGAAAAGATATATAATAATATAGCTCACTCATTTACAAAATACATCAATAGTAAGTAGCTTGGATGTAATATTAATTTATGTTTATTTACTTTGTTATAAACGTCTTTATGCCTAAATAATACTGACGGATATTTTTAAAGTAATAATACCAGGAAAAAAAGGTGTTGATGTTTGAAAAGTAAACATTTTTATCCAATGTAATGTGCAATTAAATTACATGCAGAAGAACAACATTAAAGTCAAACAATTAAAAATAAACTGTAATTTGTAAAGCAGAATATTCTAGTTTCGACTACTATCTTACTAAATAATACTTACCAAGTTGAACCAGTTTTACAAGTTTTAACCTCAATACAATACTATCTCTTCATCCCTTGCATAATTTTATTTCCAACGAATAAACCGAAAAGAAAACAACAACACAAAAAACATCGCTCTTACTGCTGTTTCTTTGACACACTATACACCTCTCACGCAATATTAATATTTATGTTTTCATAAAACAAAAAGAACATATACATGATTATGGTGATTTCGGACAAGCTGCGTAACTGATATTTTTTCTTTTGAATAATAAGTTACTTACGGAAGGCCTGAACTGCAAAGTAGAAAATAATAATAATTAAGGTCTCATTTCGTACGTACGAAATATTATCATGTACTACATTATTGAATATATATACATCATAAAGTACACAAATTATAACTTTGTTGTATTTTGCGTTCGTTACTAAAATAAAACTATAATTTAGAATAATAATGGTAATACTTACCTCAAATTTTTCCATATGGGAATGATAGATGTTACACACTGTCGAGTAGTAACGCTAAAGGGGTGCGCTATCACTGTGTTTTTATCTCGTAAGTACGACTTACTATCTCGTACATACGAGAAGAGACCTTCAATTTTTATTTTACTTTTTCACTTTGCGGTTTAGGACTTCCGTAGTTACCCAGATATGAAAATAATGTTTTAACGCTTCTGGAGATTTTGTTAAGGAATGTCTACAACGTTAATACACTAATCAATTTTCATTATAAAAGTACTGAATTGTAGAAACAATGACCTAAGAAATGTAAGAATACCATGTTTTGGCAAAATTATAATTTTAGAATCTTGTCCTTTAAAGCATAGTAAATTTTCCTTTATTCTAAATAACATGTGCCTCGGTGGTTCAGGAATGGGCTAAAGGACTTATAACACTCAAACTCAGGTTCGATCCATATGGTAAGCACAGCTTAGTTAATCCATTGAGGAACTTCTCCCTTCAAAAACATTTAAGTCACTTTTTTAAGTTCTTTTGCTTTTTTTCTCAAATTATCACGTCTTTATTTATCCGAGAAGAATATGCTGCAAAGCGTTCAGTACATGACAGCTAAAAAATATATTTATGTTCTTAAAAGAAGAAAAAAAAGCACAGCATTGATCCATGTTTTCATTAAACATGTGAAACTGGCGTACAGTATTCGACATTATATTATCCGAGTAGCTATTAGTAAGATAACTCTGCAATAGTAACATATCCATATATATATACATGTATATCTGTGTTTAAAGAAAGTGACATTGTTGTTAATTGACAATCTGCCGTTACAGATTATACGATATATATATATATATATATAGAACTAAGTATTATTTCAGTCTTATTCTAAGGGTCTTTATTGTTCAGCAAAGGTCTATTATTTTTATAAACACTCGATTATACCCACAGTTAGATTGGTTAATTTTGTTTATTTACCAAATAACACCAAAAAAGAAAGTCATTTAGATTGTCCCACAAAAATTGAATTAATTTGAATTATTCTACCTTAATTTTAAATTATTTAGACAGCAATTTGAATTCTAATTTTAATAAAAATACTGCTGTAAATACGGTTTCAAACTGTAGTTAAACATACCACCTAGTTTTCTGGTAGTCAGTGGTAAATTTACGGACTTACAATGCTAAAATCAAGGGTTCGATACCTCGTGGTGAATGAAGCATTGCGCTGAAAACAAAAAAAAATCTATCGAGTATCATATATTTATTTTAAGAATTTCTCGTGTGTTACGTACATAATTATTTTAAGAAATTGTCATACAAAGAAAGCCAAACACAACGCATCTTATAGTTAAACCACAGAACTACACTTCTTGCAATGTTTCACTAATTACTTGTAATTTTCCACAATCAATAATTCTTTATTTTTCATTTTAACCATTCTTCTGAAATATCATCATTATCGGTTTCCCTAAGAAATAATGATTTTGAAGCAATTTATTTATAAACCACTTTAATCATTTATATATATATATATAATATAACATTGACTATATTTTGTAAAAACCACTACATATAACCGACGTATGAAATCTCGAAAACACTAACTAGGCTGATATTTAAGATGTTATAGCTGTATTATATGGTGGAATCAAAAATAATTATGAATGATCAGATTATAACATGTTTTACTATAAATTGGTTAAAGATATATAACTTGTTTGTTATATACTGTTTTTACAAATCTAAAATATACTTTCTATCGTCTTATCTTGTGAAGAGTCTCCTGAGTCTCCCAGTTCGTTACTTCACGTAAAATTGTGTGAATTTAATATGACAGTAATACCTACTTATGGTTATGAACTTCCACAATGTAAGTATAAGTATTTTCAACAACTGTTCACGGAAATGAGACTCAAGTTCTCGACATTCAATCTTAATGATAGTAATTTTTTTACAGTAAATGAACACTAATAAAGGAACTGAGATATTATATACATTATACTCGAAGTACGAGGAAGCAAAGTCACTGTGTTAACTAATGAAAATTACATTTCGAGTTCGTTATAGTGCGTGGAATGCTAATAAGTATAGAGCCTCACTATTCTCATATTAACTGTAATGTGTTTAGTAGCCTGGTTACAAGTGGTAATTACTATCTTGCTTCTGTGCTTTAAAGATGGGCACTTCATAAGTTGAACGCTCCTTTAATGATAATTTAAGCAAAAGAAAAAAATTGAAAGATATAACCCTATATATATATATAGAGAGAGAGAGAGAGGGAGAGAGATGAATGTTCGAAATAACTCCAAGTTGAAAATTGAATTTTGGTACTGATATAACTAATAACGTCTACGATGAAATACACAATAATGGAGATAAATTTCAGATACAAATAACAACTAAAATTTAAATAAAGGATTTCTTGTAGGTAATGAATGAGAGAAATTGCTAATATTAAAGTTTTAATGTTTCGTGATAGTATGATATACTAGATGGAAATAAATTTCAGGTACGCAGATAATAAATCATAAGCAAATCTGAGTAAACACTAATCAAAAGTAAAATTGAAATGATAAAATAGTACTACGTAATGAAATGGAGCTGTCAAAAGTATTTTATTTAAACCTGAGTAATTTCACTCTAGGGTTCCATAAATATGCTTGTTTTTGCTAAATAAAATGATTTTCATATTATATCGAGTATTAACCTGATCTCCGTTATAGGTTTCAGCCTCCCGGGTGAAATGCTAAAAATATTTTCAAAACATCTTCTGATATTAGATAAAAACATAATTCACCTAACTTTTCTAATAAGCTTTTACAAGCCTTTCTCTCTTTCGCTTGTATGAATTATACGCTGTTTGCTGTTGTTCGAATGTTTATTTAATTACATAGGTTTAAAAGCAATTAACAAATCCTACATATTCGAAATTTACTTAAGATCGATATGTACACAGGAATTGTATGGTTAAGTTTTCATTATCTACAACGAAAAGCTATAATACCCAAAACTACACACACAGGTTATTCTTGAATATATAAACTTAAGATAATTACTAGATAAAAATATACATTTAATAATACGAGACTAGATCTGACAAAACACACATACATACAATATAAGGACAACAAGTTGTGATCTCTCTCTCAACTGTTTTCTTTAACTAATACATATGTTAAATTAACCAGTTAGTTTTGATGATTTTAACTTTAGACAGCTTAATTTGGTCCCAATCCATTTAGATATATAAAAATCAACTTTGTTCTTCTTTCCCAGAAAAGACCAAGATTATTAAATTTATTTATAGTTGCTGTAGGTTTCAGACACCATTTTGTTATGATCTTACTACACTTGCATTTCAATTTTAGTAAGGTTGTATTTATGCTATTAGGAATTATTGGCTCATGTCAAATTGAATCATAATAAGTTTCTGTTTTTTACTATGTCAATGATACATAGATATAAGCCCCCAGTGGCACAGCGGTATGTCTGCGGAATTACACCGCTAAAAACTAGGTTTCGATACTTGTGGTGGGCAGAGCACAGATAGCCCTTTGTGTAGCTTTGTGCTTAATAACAAACAAACATAGATGTAAATTAGGTTTGTTTCTTACTGGCAACATAAATTTCTTCCTTCCCTCTTTCGGTTTATATTTTCGTTCTTACATCTCCGGATCTCCTTCTTCTCTGCTAAACATCTGTCTTTTATATCTCTTTCTAAACCACTCTAACAGGTTTCTTTCTTTGCGACCATGCATACCGGTTTTCCGTAATTAAAATCATAACGTTCATAATCATAGGGGGTTCCGTAAGGCCAATAGCGACTAAACAAGAAAGGTGGCCGATCCCTCCCATAATTCACTAACAAATTAGTGCTGTAAATCCATAATCCCTTAGTAACTGACCAAAAATCGACCGCTTTCTCACTTCTCCTA